TATATATATATATATATATATATTGTAACCTTAATTGGATCTTGTACTCTTTTTCTGAATTGAAGGAAAAACCACCGCTATACTTCCGAGGATATAGACATGAACCTCATTAAATCTTTGTGTTTCTTTCTAAATTTACGTCGATTCTTAAGCTTCTCTGCCCTAAAATTCTAACATAAAGTGACCTAATCATTATTGTGAGTTTTAAGTAATATACATGACAATAGCTGTGGTTTCTCTTGAGTAAGTTTAGTAAATCTTTTAAATTCAAATTTAGTAAATTTTGGGCAATTTAATAAATTAAGTTAAATTGTGTCACAAATCGTTTCACAAATTTTTTCTAGGTTTAAGAAGTTTTTATATTTGTTAGAATAAAAAAATATAATTAAATATTGATTATTTTATTATTATGATAAAGAAAGAATTTTTAAAACATTATATATTTAATTAAAAATTTTATTTTCAAATTATGATAACTAAAACTACATATTCACAAAATAATTAATTGCTACTAAAAACTTTACTAATACAACTACTTATTAAACAGTAGATTAGTATTTATAAAGTAATAATTAATTTGTTAGTAATTATTAATTAATAATTACTTATAAATTTTTTTGAAGAAATAAAAATTTAATATGGGCTTCTATTAATTAACAATTAAATATCAAATATAAATTATTTAGCTAAAATTAATCTCATAATATCTTAATCGTTTATTAATTATTAGTCCACTAAATTAATGAACCAAACCCTGCCGTAAACCCTCGCCCTCCCTTTGTTCCCAAAACCCTCGCCTATGTCCCTTCGCCCACTACCGGTTTCGTCCAAAACCATCGCCTGCATGACCACCTCGCGATACAGTCGCAATTAGGGTTAGCTGGGAAGCCAACGAGGGGATCGCCTTCACTGAATAGGACGGTAACCGGCGTGAAAAAACGACAGCTTTGAAGGAAATTTGGAGCAGCTATGGTGCCCGAGACAGAGTCCATGGATTTCAAAGTTGGGGAGCTCTTGAAAGACCTCCAGCTCGATCCGTCGGCCTCCAATGCCATAGATCGCGCCTTGTCTTCCATTATAGACTACATAAACAACATTCCCGTTCAGGAAGCGCGCGCAGAATACGCCGCCGGGTTCCTCCGCGATCTACGTGTGCCCTCCGATAAGGTTAACTTCATTTTCAAGAGCCCGGAAGCCATCCGGATCGCTGGCAGCTACTCTATTGGATGCGTTGCAAAGCCTGATGTAAACGTCGACTTATTAATCCGTATGCCCAAGGTCAATAATACTTCTCTTTTTGTTCTTCGTTTTATTTACCTCCTTGTTCTTCTTTGCGAAGAATTGTTTAAAGTTTATTTTTTCCTTGAATTTCAGGAGTGCTTCCATGAGAAGGACTACTTGAACTACAGATATCATGCTAAGAGGTGCATTTATCTGTGCGTGGTTGAGAAAAGTTTGAAGTCGTCTCCTCTGGTTCGGAAGATTGAATGGCGAACTTTCCGGAACGAGGCAAGGAAGCCTGTTATTCATTTGTATCCAGGTTTTCATTTACATAGTTCTGGCTTCCTTAATTATTATAGCTAACAATGGCGTTTGTTATCTTTCTGTCATTTTGATCATGTTTTGTTGCAAATCATCAACCTTTGATTCTGGGCCGAGAACTCACTAATCAAATGGCTATGTAGTTATAAAACATGCGGAGCTCTCTGAGTTTTTCATAAGGATAATACCTACTGCCTCTTCTGTGTTCGATGGCTCAAGGTTGTCCATTTCACGAAATAATGTTCGTGCATTTAATCAAAGTAAGAAGCTTCAAATTTGAAGCAGTTTATTGCCATTTGGAATTTTAGCAAACTTTAAATTTTTATTTTGTTAAATACTCTGTTCTTCTGCTTTTGGATAACAATGCTTGCTTTTTGTAAGGTGACACTTCTAGAGCTACACCATATTACAACAGCAGCATACTAGAGGACATGTTTATGGAAGAAAATGCAGACTTTGTGAAGAACACTTTTAATGGATGGAACAGTTTGGGCGATGCTTTGTTGTTGCTTAAAGTACGATCTTGGAGCACTTTAGCATGCTTTTTTTTTTTTTACATATTCTTTTGAATTCATAATTTCTATCCATTTAAGATTCTTATCAAACTGCAAAATGCATTCTAAAGCTCGGTTTCTTTGATACAAACTGCCTTTTCTATTTTAATTGAGATTAAACTTTGCATTGTTATTTAATTAAATATTTAAAAGCATTCTCCTTGATAATTCAGGTCTGGGCTCGGAATAGAACTTCAATTTACACACATGATTGCTTAAATGGGTACTTGATATCCATCATCTTGTCCTACCTAGCAGGTGGGCCTGGAGGAAATCATATCAACAAGTCAATGAAGGCCATGCTGATATTTCGTGTCACCTTGAAGTTTATATGTATGATCTTTTTCTTAGAATCACATTTTTTTATGATGTCTTAATTGATTGTGGTTTTCCAAAGTCTGTTTCGGTTTTGTTTTTTTGGTGAATTACTGCTCTTTGTTAGGAATTTTACAGTATTTTGTGCGAAGCAATAAACATTTTTAATTCTAGAATGTAACTAGTAATTAACTACTTTTTTTCTTAATTTCACCTCAACTTCAGCTTTAACTATGAATTAGCATTTGTTATTTTTAGGGATTGTGAGAAATTAAACTTTCCCTCCTAACTCTGTTAAACATGTTTAAAATTTGGTTCTATATCTTTAAATTTATTTTCTGCTTATGTCAACACTTTGGCTTCATATAGACATATGCCAAGTATTCTTGAACAACAAATTTAGCAGTAAGTGAGTTGATTTTGATTTTTTTTTAATTATTTTGACACTAATATCCTAATATTTTGCTTTGATATTACAAACCTTGAGTTCTTTATACTTGAAAAATATGTTTTAAGGTTAGCATGGTCGTTGTACATCTAAACTAGTTCTAAAAATATGCACAGGGAACTATTATTGTTTGGAGCTCTACCTTAACAATTAAATTTATCAAATTGTAAAGGAAAATTTGTTAAGTACTCTTTAAACCCTCATTCTCATCCGCTTTTCCCATAATTACGTTGTTTAGCCTCATGTGCAATATAAAAAAAAAAGGTGAGCTATGTTGATTGAGGGGTTTAGGCATGAGACTTCTTGAGAGGAGAACAAATAGAGTGCTAGTTTAGTAATGATTTGTAATTGTTGTAGGGTGGAGGATAAGGAAAATTGACGGAGCATTCATTGTTTCTTGTTTGGTTGGAGATTTGATGGGAAAAAAGGAATTTTTGTTATCTTCTCGTTGGTTTTCTCATAAAAAAAATAATAATGAAAAAAACTGGTGAGAACTTGACCTCACTTTCTCACTTTTCTTGAGGAAGATGATTTAGATTATTTGTTATTACCCTTACTTCATATTCCTTGATAGTGGAATTCTGTGTTTTCTTAGCTCGGGATGTAGGTCGTAATTCTTGACATATTCTTATAAATGTTCTTCTTGTTTTTGTAGTTTTGTTCTTTATCATACATGCGGGCTACTAGAATTTTTTCTCCTATTATATTAATTTGATGAAATCTTTGACATTCATATAGATAATGATTTGGACACTTTAATTATAACAAAGAACACACGCTTATTGTGAGATGTTTAGATGTTGATGTATGCCTATTATAATTATTTTTGAACTATTATTAAGTTGAAAAGCCATATTTGTGTAACTATTTAGGAACTAACTTTTGAGTCATATAATAGCATGACGGAAGCGAGTAATGGAACGTAGGCTTAAAAAGTTATTTTAAATTTAGAGATCCACATTGGTTTCATTATTGGAAAACTTTTTATGGACAGTATTTCCAGGTCGATACTATTAATAAAGAAGCATAATGAACAAAGAAATGATCATCATATGATTTTAACTGATATTTAAAAGGCTTATCATTGAATACTATAAGATTGATTTGGTGTGCAAGGAAAAAGGACTCGTCTTAAATATATTGACGTTATTTAAGCAATATTTGATGAAACATTTGAATATTATTATTAGTTATTATGGAATGATTCATAAATTTTTAACGATTGTAAGTTTTTATTAAGGCACGTCTTAAGTTTATTTTATTTTGAAAGAAGTATTACTTCTCGAATGATATGGTAGTCTTATTGCAGACTTCAGCCGACCAAGCATTTCTTCTACTTCGAGGTATATTGCTATTCATGAGGCAGCCTTGAGAGCCGACCTATGATTTTCACCGACACCTAAGTTTATTGAAATAATTAAAGCGTTCAGAATTTGCGTTACTCAGCTGTCTTATCAGTTGGTGGCAATCATTATCGAGTTGATTATTTTAAAAGTTGCGGGTTGACGTTAACATCAACAATTTTAGCTTGGATCAATATCTATGTAGTACCACATTTTTAAAAATGTGTCGTGCTTGTGTCGGACACGTATTAGACGCAAACACTTGCCTGAAACGCTCCGACACTCGTTCGATGCTACAAAATATGGGTCTGAATTTTTTTCGAGCCTGAACACTTTCGGAACATGACTCGACACCATATGAAACATGAGCTCAAACGATTTGGGGAAAACAAGACACGAGAAGTAGAAAATTATAACGTATAACCGTAATTATATCTCATAGTCGACGCTGCATACTCTCTCATCATATCAAAGCACCCTTTATTATTCATCAAAATTGAGCATCAAAGATGCATACAATACTCTTCAAAGCCAAGCATCAATAGTTTCCTCTTTGTTTGTTAAAGATGAGTGCCAAAGGTTCATCCTTCATCCGTAGAAGCCGAGCATTGTAGTTCCTTTTTGTTCATTAAATTCGAGATTGCACCCGCTAAAGCGGAAGCCTTAAGCTTCTTTGTCACAACTTGAGGAGTGAAACTTGTTTGTTGAAGTCGATCCAAATACTCAATGAACTTTGTTATGCTTGCGTTTAGCTTCTATTATTCGAAGTCAAGTGGAGTCAAAGCTGCCTTAGTTTCGTAAGTGTTAATTTATAATTTTTTTTATTCTTTAATGAGTTAATACTTGTAAATCTATACTTATTCTAATTCTATAATTTAAATTTAACTTAGTTATTTAAATAAGGTGTGATCGTAGAATTTTTTAAATTTAATTAGATAAGTTGGAGGAATTGTTTTGAAACATATTATGTCTAATTTTGAACATTAATCTTTATAACCATGAAATTTCACAATATAAGTCAAATTTGTAATGTTAAAACATACTTTGTTTTGTGATTTATTTAATAAAGAATAATAAAAAATATATTTTATATGATTAATTAAATATGAATACATGCCCATGTCGTGTTTTGTCCATTTTTTTCAATCATGTTATGTTGTGTCTTTGTCAGTGTTCTTAGATCAATGTTTATTTCATGGTTTCTTGCATTTGTTATGGAGATGCTTACAAAGATTGTTAATGTGAGTTGCTTTGATATTATGCCTTTTGTTGATGATCTAGTTCTAGTTGGTAAGATTTTCATTTTCACAAAAAATAGTGAAAATATAAAGAAATTAGGAGATATGCTGCGAAGATGCATGTTTTAAAATCAACATAACAAATATTGAGTGTGTAATATGTGATTTAGTAAGCATCCAATTAACTATTATCATTCAATTCTATTAGGAAATAAGGTTCTATTAATATATACTATTTTTGGACTTCTGTGTGATAAGAGGATATTTTGAAGGCAATCTTATGAAATCTGAATTAGGTTGTCTATGCTATATGGATTCAAATGTCTGGTTGTAAAAGGTTATTGGTGTCTATATTGAGTTTGATAGAAATGAGAATGTTAAGATGGATCAACGAAACAGTGGTGTAATTTTTCATGTACCTTTATATGACAAATTCATTTGAGTGTTAAAAGACCAAATCAAGGCATGATCTCTTGGTCATTGGCATTACAAAAGTGTAAAAACCTTGTATTTATAATCACTATTACATATAAAGTTTGAACTAGTATTAACCAAAATATGTTTTTGAAATGAAATTAAGGGTATGTTTGGGGCAGCTTCAACTTATCGATAATCTGCTGATAAGCAGCTGATCCAGATAAACTGCTTATCCGCAGCTGATGCGGATAAGCTAACTAACTGCTTGATTTGTGCGTTCAGAAAACATCTAATTTACAATTGTTTCTGTATAAATCACAATTTTTCCCCTATGCAGTAGTGTTGTTTGTAACAAAACTGCCATATCTATATATTTGATAATTTAAAAGCAAAAAAATCACTTCATAACGATAAAAAAATTGATACACGCCACAAAAGCCCTCTCAATCAAAGAACAATGTAATCAATTTTAATAAATAAATAAAAGATAATCACTAAAGCATCCAAACGCAAGCAATCCTTCTCCTTCCAACCCAATACTTTCCAGACATTACTTCCTAATAGTTCTAGCACCAGCACCAATTTAACATCCATCAACCCATCTTGCAGCTTTCCTCATCCTCTCTCTAACTCACCAAACAATCACAAAACAGGGAAAAAAGCTGAATCTAAAACCGAAAACCATATGGGCCAGATTGGTAGCAACTTTTAAACAAGATTTAATCAAGATTTAAGTTAAATATTACCAAACAGTAAAAATGGAAGATGCACTTAATAAATCCTAACAATTGTTTGGAATTTTAACTCGCACCCTGCCAGTCCCGTCAATGCTGTTTCCAAACGAGTTATGTTACAAATTCTTCTTCTCCTTTGCAAGTTGCTGGTTCCGCCGATGTCTAACCCTAGAAAGCTTCCGTCACGTATCCTTCTCTTTCTCTACAAGCCGCAAATTTAGTGGAGCTTTCCGCACAGAGGAGAATCAACTGCGCCGGCTCTATAGGAGTAACCGAGGGAGTGGTGAGGGGGAGAGGTGAGGGAGAACAGACCTAGGCAACTGCAGTCGAGTGAAGGAGAGGGGCACGGGAGGAATTGGATCCTCGAACATAGATGGGAAAATGCGGGCTGCGAGGTCGATCTCGCAAGCCGCACTAATATAAACATAAAACAAAGTTTTCAAATTTGTCGAACAAACTCGCGATTCAAACGTCAGGCCGATGTTTTCAAAACGCCAAATTCAGTTTTAAGCTGCACCAAACGGGCCCTAAGATCGTTGTAGGAATAACTGTGAATTAGCATTTTTTCTTGTGCACAACCAGGAAATCTAACTAACATTGCTTAAATAAAATTCTCAAGATTAATAGTACTATACTTTTGTATAACCATCCTGCTTCTAGTTCTTTGAAGGTAATTTCCGATATCTAGACTTTGATAGATGAATTTCTTGGACTTCAAACCGGATATGTGACTTCTTCCTTGATCAATTGACGGCCACAGCAATTGAAGGTAGAATAGGAGAGTAGGATGGGGATTAAGATGCATGGATGGGTAAACGCTTGGGTTAAAGGAGAAGGAAGTGTATTGGAATTGGGGACAGAAGATTGGGATAATAAAGCTGCAATATGTATTTGTTAATTGTTATATAAAGTTGCAGTTTGACACCAAATCAGGTATGTCTCCAGTGAATTATATTTTTCTTTTTGTTCTGAACCATCAGAATCTTGAATCTATCTTGAAAAAAAAAAGAAAGCAGCTCATATTTTTATTTAATGGAGGCATTTAGTTTTTCTTTTTTTAAAGTGTTGGGATTATATCTGAGTGAAATTGAACTTTTTAATAGCAATATAGAGTTTAGGGCTGATGCAGTTTAAGTGCCTAATATTTTCACTTTTTTTTAGACCTGACCTTCGCCTCTACTTTCCTTCTAACTGAATTGTATGATTGTTGAAGTTGCTTGAAACCTGCGGTTTCCATTATAATTTATTAAAGTACTTTTCACATAGTACAGAATCAAAATGCATGAAAATCACAATAAAACACCAAAAAAAATAGGTGATCAAAAGACCTCTGAAGTTTACTAAGCTACCGGAAAGAGCTATGGCGGAGGATGGGTTACCATCAACTAAAAAGCCTATGGAGGTCATCTTGATCATTTCATGCTGCACCATATCACTACGAGATGGTTATTGAAGCCTTGCTATCAAAGCTTCACACAACACATTATGCATGCACGTGCAAAAATAATAATAATAATATATATATATATAGCGCATCTTGGTAAAGTGCACGTTTTAAGATGTGTTACAGAGTTGACATTTTGTTGTACACCATAGTATTTATTTTCTAGAAAATCAAGTACAAGTAATAACCATGTTTATCGTTAGTTGATTTTTTAGGGTTATCCTCATTATCAATGCAACACAGGAAAAATTATGCATATTATTAGAAGCATTCACTTGTTTATATGATTGTTGGTGGTGTTCATTGTCCTTAAACTCTTATAAGGCAATAATAACTATAATTTCTTATATGACATAGCTTTGATGTTTTAATTATTTCTTCCTATTTTAGTGTCCTTTTTAATGTATGATTTTATTGAGTCTTTTTTGGGTGGCTTTCTCACAATTTTACTTTCCAAGTAACCATCAGTCGTGATCATCTAGAACTTTGCAAAAAGTATAAATTTCATCTATTTATACTTTTTTGGGTGGCTTTCTCACAAGCCAAGTAACCATCAGTCGTGATCATCTAGAACTTTGTTCTTATTTTTTAAAAATTTCTATGAAGAAAAACTTTTTGCAATCAGGTTTGCTAGAATATGATAACCAATTTAAAAGCTTTCTTAAAAGGGTAAAGTCTGTAACACTCAAAGAGCTTTCAAAAATTTATTTTCCTTATAATTATTCTAAATAGCTTTTGCAACTAATTGCAGATGCACCAAACGAACTCTAAAAGTAGTTTGAACCTTCCAAATTTTATTTCATAAAAAAGGTTTAGTTAAATCCATTTTTATGCTCTGAAGTGCTAAAATAGTTTCTAGGAGTTCCTTGGATCATAGACATAGTTCCTAATGCATTATTGATTAAATCACACCCTTACTTGCTTTAGTCCCATTCTTCAACCGCTTTTTGTGATCAAAAACTTTTTTTGACTTTGCATGAATGTGTTTTTATCGCATTGAGCATGGTAGACCATTTTGGTTCTTTCCTTGAGACCTAACTACAGTTCTCTGATAATTTATAGCCCATTACTCTAAACTTTGCTTTGATGCATACACACTTTTTTTGCAGCTTCAAATCTGTTGGCAAAGGGCCTCTCTCTTCGGCCTTTAACTCAGTCCAAGCCATCCAATGAGGTCAGTCATTTTGATGCTTGAGTTTTCTCTATTATTATAGATGTTAACAATTTTTATATATATTTATTGTCATCAAAATTTTCTTTATTTACAAACATAGCTCGTCTGATTAAAATTTACTATCTAACTTAGATTTGCTTGTGAGATAACTAAAGCTTTAAGAATGAAATTTAAGAGTTTTTTTTGCAAAATAGATTTATTTGGTAATTTTATAAATGTAGAAAATTTTTTCTTTGATGCATTCAAACTGTTCTAATTGTTAATGCATTTCAGGAGATGATGAATTGGCTTAAAGCATTTCCTACTGTTCTGTACGATGCAACTGGCCATGCTAACTTGCTGTTCTGCCTGACTAAAACAGCGTTTGCTGAGGTATGCATATTCGTTCCTTGCTAAATTAATTTTTATTTTCATTTTTGTACGCAAATGCAACACTTTCCATAATTTTATTTTTTTCAATTTTGATTTTTTTTGCTTGTATTCTTCCAACTGTCAAAGCTTCAAGATGAGGCTGCTTGGACAGTTAATTGCATTGACAAATGTAGAGGTGGTGAATTTGAAGAGATTTTCATGACCAAGGTTGACTTTGCGGCTAAATTTGATGCTTGTTTAAGGTACTCTTGTTACAAAGAAGAATTTTGAATACATGAGTTATGCAATTATAAATCCTGTTGAATCAAACAAACATCTCTTGGCCATGACATGGCAGTACGTAGACTTCATTCTTATGTATTTATATATCTTACACCTAAACTTCAAATTATCTATCTATCTATCTATCTATCTGTGTCACCTTCCCTCTGAATGAAAAGGTATATTTCACTTTTTTTTAAAGTTAAAATAGTAGTATTTTTTATGAGATATGAAAGGTTTGGGAGTTAGAAATGTAAAAAGTAAAATTTAGTTCTTAGATATGTAAATACATAAGAATTAGATGGTACGTTTTTAAATGCTCCTCCCTTATTACTATAATTACTGGTTCATTCTTCATTATCAACTCAATAATTTTCTGACTTTCAAGTTTACTGCAGAATAAACTTTAAAGGAAACTCTATAGTCAATTCATTTGATTTTTGCTTGGATGATGAACGTTGGGGACTAGTTGAAAAGCATGTGCAGTCCGTTCTGCAACAGGGATTGAGTGATAGAGCTAAATTAATCCGTGTGATTTGGGGAAGTGCTCCTTCTAATTGGAGTATAAAAGAGGTTGAATATCTCTGCTACCTAATCCAATTCAAATTAAACTCTTGATTATCTTAAATCTGGATGATAAGATGCATCATCCGTGTAGGGTTTTGAAAATTTTGGTAAAGAACCAATGCTTGTTGGCTTTTTGTTGAACTCTGAAGAAAAGTGTTTTCGTGTTGTTGATATTGGTCCGCATGCTGAGAACAAAGAGGAGGTTATATTTTTTCTTTTTTTTTTGTCTTTAAAATCATTATCTGCAGCTAAATTTTTTTCTTTGAAATGCTAAAAGTATCTTTATATTTGTTCAGGCTGCTAACTTTAGGAAATTTTGGGGTGAAAAGGCAGAATTGAGAAGATTTAAGGATGGAACAATTGCTGAAAGCACAGGTAATTGAACTCAGCCTAAACAAGGTGTTTATTCCCCTTTGAAACTGGACTATAAAGTACTTACTGTAATGCCTGCTTACAGTATGGGAGTGTGCACCTTGGCAGAGACACCTCATCATGAAAAGAATTACTGAATATGTTATTTCTAAACATTTTATTTTGCCAAAAGAAGATATTCTATATGTGGTGGATCAGCTTGATTTCAGTCTTCATCTGGGTGGTAAAGGTTAGATTGTTTAGCAATAATTTTTTTTAGATATGTTGCCATTCTTCTTTTCATATTTGCGATGGTTTTACTTTGTCAGATCCTATATCATCCTCTACCAGTTTATTGGAAGCATTTGAGACTTTGTCAAAGCGCTTGCGTCTTTTAGAAGATGTTCCTTTGAGAATCTCAAGTGTACAGCCACTGGACGCAGGCAAGTTCCTTCTCACACTTAACAAGGAAAAACTCCTTCGTTAACATTGTAAATTGTATTACATCTTAGTGTTCAAAGGCCATCTTTGTGTATATGTGTTTATCATGACCCAATTTTATGTTTTTGTCCCATTTTGTATTGTTTATAATAAACCAACTTCAAACTATATTATGGAAGTTGGAAGATGCGTGTCCTTTTTTTTTTTTTTTTTTTTTTGGTGCACACGCCCGCATGGAGTCAATGAGTTTTAACCTACATTCCTCCTGCCATAAAACAGATGGCTCTGTCAATATATTGGTATAATCACCAAATTATGCTAGTTTATGATCCTTATAAATGCCCTTTTTTACCAGATTTATATTGCTAAATCTGTTGATGGTTTTTTTTTCATTGTCTTTGGGGTTGTATATCATAATGCTCTACTGAATGTGAATCATTCATTTTAAAAACAATTTTAGCTCTTTCGTGTGCAAGATTACCAGAGCTTTCAACTTGAGCAAAGAAGACTCTTTGAAGAAAGATGCTTCTATTCTATAAACTTCTAAGAAACATGTTGTATTAGTTAGAACTTATTGTTTATTGCATTAACTTTAGGAATGAGAAAAGTGTCAATTTAGGTGCGGGCTCTTTTAATATTGGTTGAAATAATCTTCTGTAAGGACTGGTTTAGCTCTCATTAAAACAATTTGAGGACTAATTTAGCATTTTTATAAACCCTGGGACTATAAGAACCCCATTTACATACTCAGGGGACTATTTTGGCACTTTACTATTTAAGAATTTTCAAAATTTTAAGTTGTATTGAAGTGGTTTGTATTTTATGGGTCTGAGTTGAGCAGTAAAGGAAGTCAAAGAAGTCACTGATAACATGTTATAGCGAATCTTTAGATGGATATGAGACAAACTGGCGAAGTTATATTGAGTAATAATTGCGTTAAGGGATAATGGGAGGATTATTCATTGAAAATAAGTCATGAAAAATGGACTTGCGTCATTTTGATATGCACAACAGAGGGTACAATATCCATCTATTGGATAGTTTTGATGGGAGTAAGGGTAGTCTTAAGGTAAATAGGGTAAAGTTGTTGAGAAGTTCATACACAATATTTTTAAGATGTCAATGGACGCTCAAACAGAATGAATGGAATAAGAATTCATAAATCTGATTTTAAAGAGTTTTAGAGAGGTTTATAGTAATATTGATGATGAATTTCTAGAGTTTTCAATCTTTTTGCATTTCATATACTCATATTAAAATTTTTATAGAGGCAGCACATGTGCAGCTTTCAGGCAATCGGCTGTGTTTCCTCCTGAACCTCATCCACTTATTTATGAGAAGGGTATTGCCAAGACATTACCAAAATTTACTACTACTTGTATCAAACCACTCACCGTTATGATTCAGGTAATTTCTAGTCTAATGTTTTCTTTATGGAATGTTGTTCTTTTGAAAACCTCCAGAAAAGTTATGAACTGCAATTTATTATTGTTTTTCTAATCTAAAGAAATTTCAATAATTTCAAAGAATAGTTATCTCCTTTATTTCAAATCGTTTTCCCAATTCCTCAAAAGCATTGTCTTTGACATGTTATTTGTAGTGGGTACATTTTTAATGGTTTGATTTATCATTTAGTTAGAGGGATCTGGGAACTGGCCATCGGATGCTGCGGTCATTGAGAAGACTAAAGTCGCTTTCCTGCTAAAAATTTGCGAAAGGTAGTAACATGTAATCCAATTTGTCTGAACGTTAACATATTGTTTGGAAGATGAATGCTTTCATGGGTATTTTGATGTTCGGTGAACTTTGATTTATCTCACATTATAAATGCAGTCTTCAAGCTCGATGGGGCATGCTTTGCAGCGCAACAGAGTCTGAGGTGAATGTCCTGGTGGAAGGATATGCTTTTTCTCTTAAAATTCTTCATGAAAGAAGCTTGCACTTGCTGGGAAACCAAGGTACAATGCTCTTCAGAATAATCTTTATTTTTAGAGGCATTTACCTACCTACCACCAAATTCTTATGTATTTATACATCGAACACCTAAACTTTACTTTTTCTACATTTATACCACCCAAATCTTTCATATCACATAAAAATACCATCATTTTAACTTTTCTGAAGTGAAATACACCTTTTCATGCAGTGGTAAGGTGGGGTATGCATGTAAAAATTAAATTTTAGGTGTTAGATACGTAGATACATAAGAATTGAGTGGTATGTATGTAAATCTTCCTTATTTTTAATTTTATGTACACGGATCACAGTGTTCCGTCACGCCGATGCCTAGCCTAGGGTGATTTTGTCTTTTTTGTGCCTAAGGGTAATTTAGTTTTTTGTTATTTATTATTGTTTAATATAATTAACACTAATATTTTTAGGGGTGATGCATGACATTGTTATTGAGAGACTTAGGTTTAGGGTTTGAAAGAGATTTCTTACCCTCTCGAATTATATGAATTCGGAGAGATCACCCACATCTTGAATTGTAGGTGCTCACCTCGTATTCTTGTTATTTTGGATTATTAACGAAAAGAATTTGTTTTGTCCAAATTTCTCTGGAAAATCGTGTTAATTTCTGCTTCGGATCATATCAGTTCCTTTGTTTGTCCATCTGCAGCTGGAAACGATATTATAAAAAGTAAGAGATATATAGATGAGGAGTTGTTCTTACGTAGCCAGCACTCCAGTATGATTAATGGCTTGAATGGTCGGTATCCAGCATATGGATCTGTTGTCAGGTGAGGATTTTATGTGTGCTGCTGAAATATTCTCATGTCATACAGTTTTTGCTATAAAATCTTGTTTATATATATATATATATTCAA